ATATGTGTGTGTGTGTGTATGTGTGTGTGTGTGTATATATATATATATATATATATGTGTGTGTGTGTGTGTGTGTATTATGTAATATATCCATGGTGTTGGGATCAAATCCAAGGCCAGCACTCTATCACTGAGCTACATCCTAGCCTTCCTATTTTAAAATAATACCTTTCTTTTTTCTTTTAGCACAAGCCCTTCTTATTGCTGTGTGGATCTGTATTCACTTCGTACTGGGGAGATGGTCAAGTCTATTCAGTTTAAAACACCTATTTACGATCTTCACTGCAACAAGCGGTAAGCATTTATACCTCCTGGGCGTAGTAATTTAGTAATCTAGTAAATTCATGACTTAAATTTATTAAAAAATAATCTCAAGGAAAATCCTTCCAAATATGTCCATTGGAAAAGCTGCTGTAAGTTTTCTTGATAAATGTGTTCAGACTTCCAGTCTTGACTCACTGGGGAATTATTAATTCATTGTAGTGGATATAACCAGAATGTTAAAAACAAAATGAAAAAGAATTGAAAGTATCTGAGAAAACATAGAAAGTTTAATTTTCTTGTGAAACCTTTTATATATCAATGGATATGCTTCTGTATATTTGTATATTTATTGGTTTACTATGAGGACTGTGATTTTGGTGGGAGGACTCACTAAAACTTTTGAAAAATCTGTTTCTAAATGTAAAATATTCTTTAGCTTTTTTTAAAAACTGCTTTACACTTCATAATGCAGCTAAAACAGGCAGATTGATTTTCCTCCTTTAAAATTAGGCGTTAATATTCAAATCTAGGCTGAACTGATCCTTGACTTCTAATGATAATGACAAATTAACCACAGAATGTAAGAAAAGAAAGGAACCTTCAAACTCTTATTATGCAGTCCTTTCATTTTATATTTGAAAAACTGAAGCCCTATGATGATTATTAATGCCTTGATCACCAGTCTTGAATATAAAGTATAAATCTGCTGTCATCCAAAAGCAACAGAGAAAATATAGCAAGTGAAATACTTTCTGCTATATCAATAAATTCAAGGGAAACATGATATTCTCAGGTTAGATTTTAGAGATGCTTCCAAAAGATGTACTAACAATGCAAAGTAAACAAGGATAATCACTTGTTAGAAGTATTTGAATTTAAGTTCAACAACATTAAGGTTGAAGGAAACAGCAGAAACACCATAGTAGTGCTAGGGTAGCACATCAAGTTTATCACAATCACATATAAATGGTAAACAACATTATTGGATAGTTTGATCCCATAAATAATTCATTTAACCCAGAAAACTTTTCTTTGTCCTGTTGTGAACTAGATTATGTATTATTTAGCAAAAAAAGAAATCATAACATATTGTGAAGGAAGTACAGAGATTTTTTAGAGCACGCTTATATTACTTGTTTTAAATTTCCCAAGTACTTACTTTTTTTGTTACCTTAAATTAGAGAGGAAATCAAATCTGTAATTATGTATCATTGAAAAATTAATAGCAAAGTATGTCTGAAGCGAAGCTTTAGGAGCTAAGTAAAAAAATTTGATTCACCAGAGATTGTGGTCATCTATATCTGAATTTTCTCATTCTGCAAAAAGCATATAGATTAATAAAAACAATTATAAAGTCACCTGTAATGCATGGTTAGTTCATAACTATGCAAGAGCAAATAATATAACTTGAAATTTCAAATATGAGACCAGCAGAACTTGTTGAAGAACCTGTGCAAGAGATGGTCTGACACAGATTATGTTGAAGAAAAGAAAAGAAATTGTGGTTCTTTTTTTTTCTAGATGATACAGCAGCTTAAACCATTAGAGACCCAATAGTTTAAATGAAGTTACCAGAGGATGGGAACATGTGCAGGAATAGATGTGATCATGAAAACAACTTCTGTTAATGGGGAAGACAATTTTAAGGGGGAAAGTTGTCTTCAAATAAATAAGTGTAATAAAGGATAGATATGAAATAACCCTTCTTGAAACAAGGTAGCTGATTTGAAAGATTGGTCTCTCTGTGTCTTAAGCCCTCTAAATAAATCATTTTTGCCAGGCATGGTGGTGCATGCCTGTAATCCCAGCACTTGGGGGACTGAGACAGGAGGATTGCTGTAAGTTCAAGGCCAGCCTGGGCTACATAATGAGTTCAAGGCCAGCCTGAACTGCATAGTGAGACCTTGTCTCAAAAAACCAAAGTTAGCAGTTATTCTGGGTCTCTCCCACCCTTGTATGTATGGATCTGTTGCATTGTTTAGGCAGATAACTTGTCATCTTAATTAACAATATTCACATTGAGAGTATTTGAGGAGCCTTATTTAAGGAATTATACTAAAGGATCCTCATCTGTACTTGGATCTGATATAGATGATGAGACTCTGCTTTTGCTATAAGGTGATGAGGGGTTTTGAGGGAAAGTATATACTTTCTGAATGTTGGAGGAATATCAACAATTGAGTAATTTAAAAATTTATATGAAGCAATTATGTTGGTATAGAAATATTTTTAGATTCTTTGATATTCGTTCTTTCAAGCACCAGGATTTAATTTCCCCAACCTTGAATGTAGGATGGACTTAATAGCTCATTTAAAATGACTGGAATACAGCAAAAGTTGTGATAAGCGAGGTGTACATGTAAGAAGGTGGGTATAATAAGAGAATAGCTTGTAAATATCAGATATTTTGATGTAGACACAATTAAAATTCAAATTAGGAATAGAAAAAAAGAAGAACACAAAGTACTGTAGGTGAAAGTGAAATGGTAACAAATGATTAAACAAAGAATTAAAATAGTCCAAGAAAGGAAATTAGGGGAGGGGTTAGAAATCTTCCCCCCAGAAAGGCAAAACATTCCACGTGGCGAAGGGGAGCTGAGACCATGTATTAATCATGTTCGTTAATGTAAATAAATTTAAATCGCCTATAACAAGATATTTTCAAATAGACCCAGTAAACGAACCAAAGGGTTAATCTCCCTGATGTCCAGACATATTGATAATTGGTTGTATATACCAAACACACTTTCATGATTGTACTGATGAAAATCTCAAGAAATAGGATCTTCAAAATAGATCAGTAAAATTATACAGTTTGAAGAGTAGAGATAAAAAAAATAGACAAATAGACCAGAGCCTCATGGAACTATTAGACAATATCAGAAAATTTAAGAAGATAAGTGAGAAAACATTATATAAAAATAATTTGTAAAAATTACACACATTTTACAAAGAACATAAATTTATGTACTCATGGTCCCCAGGAACACCAAGTAGCATAAGAAAGAAGAAGACTATTCCTGGATATATCATAGTAACATAGTAATATAACATAGCAACATAGGAAAATTAAAGATAATTTAAATACACCTAGATAAAATAAAGCACATTATATGTATGGAAATAATTTGAAGTATGCTGGACTTGTTTGGAGCATGTAGAAGAATTAGGAGCACTCAGAAGAAATCTTCCATTTTGTTACTTCTGCTACTTTCAATTTGTAGACTCTCCCTTCCTATAGAATGAGCTACACATCTACATGTGCACATGTATTAGCTCTCATGTATCCATCCAAATCTTTTCATCCTGACTGTATATTCCCTCCATGTACCCACCCCAGTTTTCTTAAATTAAGAGTTTTGTGATTTTCCTACCACTGAGCATACACTGTTCTCTCCATGGGTGCATTGGTTTTGAAGTTCTCTTACTGTATATCAGTCAGTTTTCAGATCTTGTTTTAGTGAGCTGTATTCAGGATTCATAAACCAAATATGTGTTCATTTATTGCTACATACCAGGCCTCAATTTCAGCTTCATGTGTTCATCAGTGACCAAAATTTCTTTTTTTTTTTTTTTTCAGTTTTTGAGACAGGGTCAGAAACCAAATTCTTGTCTTTATCACATTGTGTTTTTTTTAACAAAGACAGACTCTCAAATTAGGGTAGATGCCAACAGAAGGAAGTGGATGTTTGAAAGCTCAGCTGTACACAAAGTACCAAAGGCAAATCTGTCTTCTGTGAGGAACTCTATAGGATTAAAAAGAGCTTTGTCAGCTCCTATAATTGTATGTGAGTTGTGAGGTTTTGTACATGGATCAGTGAAGGAAAAGACCCTATGAAGGTTGAAAATGAGAAACTGATGCCCCAAATATAAAGGGGATTTGTGCCTTTGCATTCACAGAATACAGGTGCTTTAGGGCCCTCTGGACAAAGAACATCCAACAGCTCCTGGGCCTCACCTTTGAGGACTCAGAGTTAGGTCATCCTGTTACAAATTTGTTGTTCTGTCGTTTAAAAAGATATGCCAAGCCCTAAGCAGAGACCCATATGCTGTATTACAAATTTAAGCTAACACATACATGTATTTTTATACTTCCCAGAGGTTGTGGGTTGTTTGGTTTTGTTGTTGTCGTTTTTTGTTTTGTTTTTGAGGCAGGATCTCTCAATATAGTTTAGGCTGGGCTTGAACTCACTATGTAGTCCACGCTGGCCTAGAACTTGAGGTGATCCTCTTGCTTCAGCCTCTTTAGTGCTGGAATTACAGGTGTGTACCACCACACCTGAATTATTTGATCTTTTTAGATGATTAACAATTTGTGCAAAGAAATAGTACAGACCTTGGTAAATAATATTTACATATGGAAATGCTTTTTATTTCTATCAAGGTGCAGTGTGTAAGATGGCTTGAGGCATTATTATAGTAACAGAACACGGTTGAAGTTTACTTTTTTTTTTGGTACTGGGGATCAAACTCAGGACCTTGCACTTGCAAGGCGGGCACCAGAACCACTGAGCTAAATCCTTGGACCACTATTGAGTATTTTTAAGTAATAACAACCCAGTAAAAACAGAGAGCTCTTTAACAAACCTGGCAGGGGGTGAGCAACAGATAATCATAAAGATGTAATGGGAATTATTCATTAAAAGTTTCTTGTATCATCAAATATAACTGTTAACAAATGAACAAATTAATAAACCATGCATTTTAAATACTAAATTTTGGTTTTCCCCAGTAATTATTAGTATGTGTCTTAATATTTACCTGTACCTAATTTTGAAAAAATAATATATTATTTCTTTCAATTATAAATCTTTTATTAGATTTTTAGAAATAATTTTTAAACTTGATAATTTGTATTAAGATTCTAGTTAAATTCTGGGCAGGGGATTTAGCTCAGTCGTTCTGCCGCCAGCTGTGCAAGCACAAGGTCCTGGGTTCGATCCCAGGTACCAAAAAAAGGGAAAAAAGAAGAAAAAAAGAAAAAAGATTCTAGTTAAACTTTAATAAATTGAGTGAATCAGAACTGACTTATTTACACTGAGTCACATTTGTCTTAGATTTCTTTGTGTGTTGTGAAATTTAGCACTTAAAAGTGATAGATTATATAAATCCAATTTATTTAATTCCATAACTGAAGCAGTGAATAGTGAATTCTTTGTTGATACTATTCAGTCACAAATTTATGTATTTAAAATGAAGGGAAGTGAAACTTTATTAAGAGAAAAACATTTTATGACGTGATAGCTTTTCTTCAGTAACATTTTCTAGTCATCAACATCATCTAGTCATCATTTCTAGTCATCTTATACTTTGGACTTTAAAAGGCAGATAATTTCTACCTTAAATAGTTATAAGAAATGTTTTATTTTTAAATCTAGATGATTTAACTTATTTATGAGTTAAGGATTCATAGAATTTTATTTTCACTTGTTTTTCCTTTTTTTCCCTCCAATTTTAGGATTCTCGTCGTAGTGTTACAGGAGAAAATTGCTGCCTTTGATAGCTGTACTTTTGCAAGAAAATTTTTTGTTACAAGTATGTATCAAATTTTATAGGATGTCATATACTTTTGAGTTTATACTACTTGATACAGTCAGCAAACTAGTTATAATCATGTCATCGGTATTTCATTTGAATTATGATCTTCCTATGATTTTTGTGGATGTTCTTGTTCAGTAATTGTATGATAGGTAATTTCACCTTGCCAATGTATTATTATACATATTCTATATTGCCTCAGTTTCTTCTCACATACTCTCTTTGCTTAATTGTGATTAATTTCATATATCCATTATTTTTTGAAAGCACTTGTTAAACTACCTATTTACGTCCCATACTTTTTTTTGGTATGGGGATAGAACTCAGGACCTTGTGCTTGCGAGGCAGGCGTGATGCCACCGAGCTAAATCCAAGGCCCCTAAGCGTCACACTTGAGGAAGTAACTGTATTATCCTATTTGAGGATTTTGAAACTCAAAGAAATATTTCCCATCTACTTCTTCCCCTGTTTTTGCTCCACTGTAATAAATTTTCCTGCTCCCCAATTCAAAAGTAAGCACAGAATCTAGTCCGAAATTATGTGCTTAAGCACACGGAATTAATATATTTGATATGATGTGAAATTACATGTATGAAATTGTATCTAGAAGGGAAGGAGAAGCGGGGTGGGGAGTGAAATGGATAGATCTTGAGACCATACTCTTAAGTGAAATAAATCGGACACACGTGTTTAAATACTGCATTGTTTCTCGGGTGTGAGAAACTGAACATGGAAATAAGGACTGAGATGTATAATGGATGTTGGGAAATGGGAAGAAAGTGTTCATATGGGAAGGGGAACAAGGGAGGAGGGAGGGAGAAAGGAAGGCAGTGACAAGAAAAAAGTGAAAATAGCAGGAAAAAATGGAAACAGAGCTTCTGTACATAGGGAGGGGAGGGGGCTTGAGGGGAGGAATGGGATTAAATTTTTAAAAAAAAGAAGAAAGGGGACAGGGATTTAGCTCAGTGGCACTGCATCTGCCCCGCAAGCGTAAGGTTCTGAGTTCGATCCCCAGTACCAAAAGAAAAAAGAAAAAGTGAGAATGGGAGAGAACCCAAATAACTTCTTAGATATGTATTTGCTTATGGAGTTGTTGGACTTTGCAAGTAGTATATCGTGTCAGACAGCTTAGTAGGCTGGAACTTCTGCAGGAATCAGCAGGGCCACTCTGTAGTCCTAAGGCCATCGGGACAGAATTTTGTTTAATACATGTATGTTTTTTTGAAGCCCACATTTTCCATTTTGCATTCCTTTTCATCTTCTGCAACTGACCATGGAAGCTTTAGTTGAGTTTTCCCAGAGAGTCTGATGTGTACATTCTGAAGAAATAATTTAATTGATCTCAATTTTGAAATGAGCAGGGAATCTCGGTTGCATTTGTTGTAGCTCCTGAAATAACATGTCTTCTTACACAGATATTTACAGAGTATCTATGATGTATTAAGCACCCTGCAGTAGCCATTTTGTATGTATAAATGTTCTTTCTTTGATACAATTACTACAGTATATATTGGATATAATTATATACACCATACATCACAATTCATTATAGTACATTGTTTAACATTTTGTAGACCATGAAGAAAAATAAGACAAGCACATATCTTTATATTTATAATCTTTTTTCTGAGATGTGCAGTTATTATACATTAATATATTTGTTATATTTCTGATTAAATAGGAAAATAGAACCACGTAATGGTTCTATCCATTTATTCCAGTTAGATAGGTTATAGAGAGTCAGTCAGAACAGTGGACAGATATTTCAGCTAGATCCGGGTGCCAGATTTTTCTGAGCTGCTTTCATCCCATTTTAACAGTAGTTTTATGGTATTTATTATTCATTGGAAATACTTGTTTCAAGGCTTCTGCACCTCCTGTGACTCCATTTTAAGTGTATACTTAACAGTCTGTGTTTCATGATAGTGGATTTTACTGTCAGGTCAGGGCCACAGAGCTATCTTTTGGTTTTGTTTTAATTTTCCTTTAAAAAATAAAGATGTTATACTGCCTCACTTGAGTGGTAAATTGGAGAGAAAATCCAAAATAATTATTTGTTACAGTAGTTTAAATAATTGGTAAAGTACATTCTGAAATTTTAGCTCTGTTTAAATATTAGGTTCTGTTGGAATGCTCATGTTTCTTTGTAATAAATGGCAAATATAGTTAGCTGAAGTGACAAACAAGTTAGTAAGTTAGTGATGGTGACATTTATCTTTTAGCACATATTTATATTGTAGTTTTTTTGGTGGGTATAAAAATTTGTATTTCTAAAAATTCTTTTAATGTACAGTTTCAAAATTTAAAAGGCAACAATAGCTTTATTATGAATAAAAATTTGAAAATGAGCCAGTTTTTATATTAGTCTTAAGTTGGATTTGAGAGGTCTTTAATAATTTTGGTACATTGAGATTAAAAGATCCTTTTCATCATACTCATTTATTGATGAAAATGGACACAATTTGGCTTAATAGCATTTAACATAACATGTATGCTATTCTGTACATGAGTGTTTCTACTAATAGTATTATCAGTTTCATTTTAATTCTTTATCTTCTTTCTCTTTTTCTTAATGTCTTTTTTTTTTTTTTTTGGTATCGGGGATCAAATTTGGGTCCTTGTGCTTGTGAGGCAGGCAGCAGAACCACTGAGCTAAATCCCCAGCCCTACTCTTAATGTCTTTTTAAGACATCTTTGGTTTACCTTACCTACTAAATAGTTCAAACAAGTATTAGTCTCTTAATTCTGTGAGTTCTTCATGATAGGAAGAAAAGATCTGGAAGTCTCAACCGTGTTTGTGGAGGTACACTCAAGTGCACTCATTTTACAAGTGGCATGGAGCTTATAACTAAATCCTAGTCATGTGGTTTGTGGTCTACAATAATGAAGTTTTAGTATTTCCTGATTCATGAGGAGTCTCATTCTCTTAGAGTGCTGTTTGTACAATGGCTTCCTTGGATTGAGATACCTTGCAATCTCTTATTTTATGTGGATTGCATAAAAACTAAAGTGTATATTACTTAAGAATATTCTAAAAGATATACTTTATATAAAAAGGAGTTCAGAAAACAGCAGCAACAACAAAAATTTATGATTTTTCTTCCTACTCTGAATAGTACTTATTGTGACATTTCACTTCACCCCTCCCTAACTTCATTACAAATACCCCTCGCAATAATAGTAATCGTTTTCATTTCACAGTTCCATTAAGCATGTCATTCTTCTTTTCAAATAATTCTATAGAACTTGAAAACCTTAGGGATCAGATTTATGCATTTACTTTAAGGTTGCTAAGAGCAATAATATCGTATCCCCCCATTCCTTCCAGCTAGTCTGAAACTACATATAACTTATACACATTTCTCTGTGTTTAGGTTTCTGTTATCACATAAGTGTAAGCCAGTTTTGCCTGTTAGTCACATGCAGGGATTCGGGACAGACAGCTGGTGGGGCTAGATATGCTGAGACAGCTTTTGTGGTAGCTCATTTACCTCTACTACATAGTTTTTCTCCTAGTGATTGGTACCAAGTTCACATCCCTTGTAGAATGAAAAGATCTTCACTTAATGAGGATGTTGTTTTGATTGTGCAAGCATTTAACTTCTAAAAGAGTCTGAAAAGCTCTTAGGTGAATGCCTTAGTTGTGTATGAATACAATGAAGGTACTGTAAAATAAGTAGAGACAGCTGTGTCCATCACAGCAAGCATCATGGGAGTTTGTGCCAGAGGGTGGATGGAACAGGTAGAGAGCTGATGGAGAACTGTTAACAGAACACATCCAATATGATGAGAAATGAGACACCTTTGTATTTGATTGTACAGAAAAGTTGGCTTTGAGCAGCTGTCTGATGTGGAAATCCAAAACCCAGGTATGATTAGGAAAACAAAAGACAAAGACTGATAGATGTCATTAGTAGTCATTTTAAGTGTCTTTAAATTGAAAGGTAGATATGAAGTCTCCAGGGAGACCAAAGAGTGCTCAGTACACAGTCTCTTTCCCTTGGTCTCTGGTTTTACTTTGAGGAGGAAAAAATATTTCTTATAGTCTTAATGGTATTAGTATATGTGTTCTTCATTTGTGATGATGAATAACCAATGTAACAAACAAATAAATTTAAAAGAGCTTTCAAATGCAAAGGTTTTTTTCTTTTTAAATTTTTCAATGAGGAACTTTACTTTCTATGCTAAGAATCCCATTTATAACATTCACAAGTAGACAGTGGTGAGTGTACATGAGACCTACGGGCAGTGCGAGTTAAAAGTTAAGACTTAACCCTAACCATTTGGGTTCTGCATCAGATGTATGAGGCCTCTGTGATATTTTTAGGGACTGGCCAGATAGTTGATTCTTAGTGGATACACACTGAGTATGTGTGGAGTGAACTACATTTGACTCTTCCTTTCTTTGCGTGTAATTCTCACCTGTTGAGCCTTAGATTGGCAGTTCTCCGTAATTCCTGTGTTTCATTTACATGAAAAATAAAAATAAAATAAGTTATCTCAAAGCTCATGAAACCTTTAAAAGGTCACTAATGAACAGTATGATAGTTAAGAAATATTCAGTGATATTTAGCATTTCCTGTGTAGTGCATTCATGGTACTTCGGAGATGTCATACATGACTGATGCCTTTCACTAATCATAGATATAATTAGCATTCATCTATTTCATGGCCTCTTTCAGTTCTTCGTTTCTTTTTCTTTTTGAGAAACATTACATTGTATGGATTTACTACATTTTATGTACTCATCCTTTCACAGATATTTGCTTTGTTTATACTTTTAGACTATATGGGTAGTTTTACATGAACGCTAGTACACAAGTTTTTTGCAGACATAGGTTTTGAACTTGAACATTTGTTTACAGATTCTTGTAATTATGTATGTTTCCCTGATGGGTAATGACACTGAGTAATGTGATTTGTGTATATACCTTATTTGTCTTTTCAGTATTGAGTTTTAATAGTTCTTTTTATATTCTAAAGCAGAATCACTCATC